TACGCTCTCTCGAACTAACCCTCGACATCGTACAGGCCCTGAACAGCTGACTCAAGAGTCACTGTGGTTCACACACATTGGTTACACAAGAACAACACAGATCGACTAATAGACTCTATAAATACAGATTATTAAATCCTTCACGAATTAGAAATCTCACCTTTAATTGTTTTTACCTGTGACTAGATTCTACTGCTGTCCCTTTTACATAATTAAAGACATAATTCATTACATAATAAATTCCATTTAAGATTTGACACCACATCAAGTATAGCTATTCATCAATCAAACATACTTGATTCAACTACCATCTTCTCATGCTGCCTCACAAGCATGATTGACTGACGACATCAGCCGACATTGACAACATCAGCATAACCTCAAAGCAACACAGTAATATCCATAGACGCTTTCATAGCATAAGAATTACAAGAACACATCATTTGAATAATCCAACAGAATTATTTATTTCTATTCTCGGTGTATCTTTTACTATTTACCATTTTAAGAAAAAAAAAATATTGAATTAAAAAAATATTATATTTATGATTGCAGGAAAATAATATATTATATTTCAATAAACGAAATTATTAATTATATGTTCAAGAAATTGTTAATAATTTGATAAAATATTTCAATTATATGATTGAAAATGTGCATTAATTTTAACAATGAATTATAGAAAAATTATATTAGAAAACGAACTTGAAAATTTTTTAAAAAAATTAAAAATGTAAATGATATAATATTGAGTTTAAATAACAAAACTATTCAAATAACAAGCGATTATTAACTGAAAATATCAGATAATAAAGCTATATTTTTACTTTAATGAACAATTATACATATATATATATATATATATATATATATATATATATAATCATTAGTTTTAAAGGAGTAACTGTGAAAAAATACACCATATAAAAAATGCATTCTATAAAATTACTTACGTGGATATTAGCATTATACATAACATTTATTATTGGTATGCAATTTTTAATTAATGTTTAAATTTAAAAATAATCAATTTATATAGCATGTTTGCACAGGTGCAAAAGAACTTACATTTACCAAAGAGGATTGTCTCAATTGTTGTTTAAGTAAGTTATAAATTATATTATTTTAGACTGAATTTAATTAATTCTGTTATATGGATTGAGCATTATATGGATATGCTACTAAATATAAATTTGAATAAATATATTAAATCTGGAGACAAAAATAATTGAAATTCATTATTAATATCTTCATTAAAAATTTCGTTTTAATTCATTCACAAATTTATATATTATAATTATTTGATTTTAAATAAAAATTATCATTTTAATATTTCATATTATTTTAAATATTTTTGAATTATATTATTTTATTTCCATTTATGTTAGTTTTTAATTATTATAATTATATTTTTATTATATTTTTATTGTATTTATCTTGTAGTATATTATAATATATAAAAATATATTAAATTTAACTAATCAACAACATCATATTAAATTAAATCAAGCATTTATTTATTAATAATAAAAATAAAGTAAAACTATGTATATATATATAAATTTTTACAATCTATAACTTATATGTAAAATAAAAAATACAAAATTTTATAAATTCAATTATTTACACATTCAAATTTTATACATTCAAAAATATATAAAATTATTAATAAACATGAAAAGTGAATAACTTAGTTTCGCTATAAAATACTTATTGGTTTAATTATTTCATTACTTAATATACAGATGTAGTTGATGACACTGGTTTTAAGCAATTTGAATGTAATGGTTCGTGCGTTCGAAAGTATTCAAGTAAGTATAATAGATTTAAAAATCTTTAATAATACATATTTAAACTTATTTATCAATGCTAAAATTATTTGCTGTACCAGTTTGAAGTCCTTATTTTCAATTATGAACGTTCTTTTATTTAATTAATGAATATTTCAATATTTTTATATATTCAAATAATATAAAGTAAATGATATTAGATACAATTTTTATACTATTTAATCTATCATATTTCAATCACTATATACAATTATTTGATAAATTTGTCTCATTACATGTTATGTATTTTTCAATTACTTATTTTTAAAAAAATTACAGAAAAATGTTAATCTTTTAATTTTTATATTGATTTTTAAACACCATTAGAATTTATATTAAATTATAATTATTTTATAATATATTAAATCCGTTACAATATAAATTCTAAAGAATAATTTCTGTACTTAAAGTATTACTTTTTTAAGATTATTTAAGCAGAGAAGGAAAAATTTATAATTTTTGATACACAGAACTAAAGACTTATAATTTTTGATAAGTTTTTCAAACTCATCAGTAGTTTTAATAATTATAATTATAAAATTATAATTATTTACACGTTCTTATAAAATAAAATTATAAATTAAATATATTAAAAGAATATTTATTTATTATGTATATTCGCTTAAAAAATATTAAATTAATCAATATGAATTAAAATTAATACTATTAACACGCAACAGACTGTGGGAAGTCGTGGCAAGAAATTGTTCTCGCAATCTCGAACACTATTATATAAATAATTAAAATAAAATACTATTATAATATATAATATTTTTAAGGTTTTCCAATTTTATTTTTTATATTAATATTAGATTGTTATATACTGATATAATATAAATGAATTTTACTGTTGTAATGGATAATAAATATTTTCACTTGATTAATTAAATAAATCCAATATTCAATTTAGTTATTATTTAATCAATTTAATGTGGTTGAACTTAAATATATTTGCTAATAATATAAATCATTTTCCGGTTGACATATGGTTTTTAAAACACTAGTTACAAAAGCTAAAACGAAATATTTTATCAAAATGATTAAAATACTGAAGTTTCGTTTACAAAAAACAAATGATTTTTTGAGCAAATGTATTTGAAATTGTTTTTAGATTGTATTGCACTTGTAAATAGTATCATATTCGTAAACCAAAAAAACATTTTTTCCTATAAATTTAGTATTTTATGTACAAGTTCTTTTATCTTTTAATTTTATTCTTTATCTTGCATCTTATTTTACATGTAAATATATCTGGTTATTACAATTTAGGTTAAATAACCAAAGTGCTAAATTTTCTTCTAAAAATTATTCTATAAAAATTTGATTATTTTCATTGTTTTGTATTTTTCAGAACCTCGTAAGTATAGAGGTATAGACCACTGTATTCAAGGATGCAGAGGTAAAGTAATAATACAATAATTACACACTGTGGAAAAGAATAATATTAATGTTTATACTTGTTCCAATAATTTCAAAATAATTAAACATAGAAAAAAAAACATTTTAATTTAATGCTGACTAATATTTAAAAAAAATTCATTATTCCGTATTTATAATTACTTCTAAAATATTCATTTTTTACTGATAAAATATTATTCCTCATTTTAGTCATTTTTTGTATTTTCGTAAAAATTATAAAAGAATTCTATTTAACCTTTTACTACAAGATAGATATGTTAAAAACTTAAATAAATTAATATCATCATATTAAGAACTAAACTTCAAATATGTAGTTTAGTATCAAATTTTTATTTAAATATTCATCTAATTTCAAAGTATTTTTTAGTAATTATTATTATATATAATATGTAGCTATTATACCAGAATGCAGAAATGGTTGCAATCTTGCGTGTAACAACATGTTTTTACGCAGTAAGTAAAATTATTTAAGATAAAAACTAATCTATTACATTTTTTCGTATCAATTGAACATTAAAACATAAATAATAAAATTTTTATTTTAGAAGTATACGATCCGAAAGAAAGAAAAGTAGTGAATCCATTAGGAGTAAAGCACTAATGACATTAACAAATTTGATTGGATATAAACATGATTATATAAGAAATAATTTTAAAATACAGGTGTTCTGAAAAGTACAGAATTTATAAAATTACATAATGAAATTTAAATAACAAATAAAAAATAATATTTGCTTATTCATTTTAATAATTAAATATATTAATATAATATATATCATTGTATATTTATTTATTTCTATTGGTATTTATGTATTATCATATTAAATATCATTATATGTTTATATAATATAATATTATATATATACATTATTTATATTGATTTATAATATATTAATAACATGCAATAGTTTTATTATCTGTATGACTATTTATTGCTTATCTTGAAGTTAAGACTATCTAATACAATTATATAAAAATGATAATAATATTTTGTACTATAAATTATGATTATTTTAACATATTTGTGTAAGTAAATATTAGTATAAAAATAATGAAATGTGATGTATTCCTAGATACATTAATTTTTTTGTTCTATTTTATTGTTTAAACTATTACCATTATAAATATTGTTCCATTTTTATTTTTGTTGGGTACTACTAATAATAAAAACATTTTATTTAAAACATAGTTAAAAAAATTGTTGTGACAATTTAGTTAATTCAACATATAATTAAATATGTAATTTAGATAAAATAACAATATGAGTCAAGAATGTTGATAAAACTCTTAAGTAAAAAATGAAGAAAACATGTATCATAAACGATGAAACGTGTAAAGCTTTAAATAATCGCATTGTTTATTAAATAATTAATGCTTTATTTGTGGTTATTTTATAAATTTCATGAATTTATATTAGATTTTTTATTAGAATTTTTACCTTGTTGTCAATTGAACTTTCAATATCTTTATACTACTCAACTGTCAAAATAAAAATACTTAAAATTGCCATTTATAATGGATGCACTTCAACTAAATTGTATATATATTTTCAAGATGAAAGAACTCATATATAATAGATAAATCTAAATATCATATCACACTTATAGGATACTGAAAAGAAATTGCATTTATAAATGCAGAGCTTACAATTTTAATAAAAAAAGAAAAAAGCTATTGGCTCGTATCAAAGAAACATGTTCATTCTGATTTTTAATGTGCAAAGTGTTTTTCAAGAATTTCACAAACTTTTCCCAAGCAAGTTAGTAATGCACAACATAGTAGGGAAA